GAATGGATGGGCAGGGCGGGGAGCAGGTGGGCAGGGCAGGGAGTGGATGAGCAGGGAAGAGTTTAATTGGGGTCGGGCACCCAGGAAGGCCTGGAGCCAGGGAAACCCACCAGGCGTCTCTGTCCTAAGGGCTCACGGGCTGGAAACAGACCCATCGCCCTCATCCCACGGTGAAACCCTCAGCACAAATGCGCTGAAGCCGCCGGATGCCTCTGACCTTCCCCGATTCAGGGAGAGGCCTCCCTTCTCCCAGCAGAGGGGGTGACGCGGGAGCAGAGGGCGCCCCTTCAGACCCCGGCTCAGAGTGGTGGGGGGCTGGCAGCAGGAAGCTCAACCTCTTTGTCAAGCTCAGCAGACAGACAGACAGACAGCTGGCCGCAGGTGAAAGTACTCAGATGGAGATTGGGGTTCATGGGGAAAGAGAACTGGTCCCCCCACAGTTGCGCTCCTGGGTAAGGAGTACGCTGAGTAACACAGAACTCGGACGACATGAAACCTGGTCTATGAGACAAGAGCTCGGCATACAGGAAAAGCTGGTGTCGGCAGCGTGAGCAGCAGGACGGACAACAGCCAGCGTGAGCAGCAGGACAGACAACCGGCAGTGTGAGCAGCAGGACAACAGGCAGTGTGAGCAGCAGGACGGACAACCAGCAGCATGAGCAGCAGGACGGACAACCGGCAGCGTGGGCAGCAGGACAACAGGCAGTGTGAGCAGCAGGACGGACAACCGGCAGCGTGGGCAGCAGGACAACAGGCAGTGTGAGCAGCAGGACGGACAACCGGCAGCGTGGGCAGCAGGACAACAGGCAGTGTGAGCAGCAGGACGGACAACCGGCAGCGTGGGCAGCAGGACAACAGGCAGTGTGAGCAGCAGGACGGACAACCGGCAGCGTGGGCAGCAGGACAACAGGCAGTGTGAGCAGCAGGACAACAGCCAGAGTGAGCAGCAGGACAGACAACCGGCAGCGTGAGCAGCAGGACGGACAACCGGCAGTGTGGGCAGCAGGCAGGAGAAGAGCCTCTTTCCCGGGATGCGGAGCCTCATCCCACAGGTGGAAACGGAGGCTGCCGGGGCGGGGGCAGTGTGAGCAGCAGGACGGACAACCGGCAGCGTGAGCAGCAGGACGGACAACCGGCAGCGTGAGCAGCAGGACGGACAACCGGCAGTGTGGGCAGCAGGCAGGAGAAGAGCCTCTTTCCCGGGATGCGGAGCCTCATCCCACAGGTGGAAACGGAGGCTGCCGGTGGGGCCATGGCTGGGCGACCAGACCAGCAATCAGCGCTCCCATAAACCAGAAGCCGCAGAGCACTGAGACGATGCCCACCTACATCCAGCCGTGGGGCGTGGAGCAGCCCCGGCCCCTGAGCAGAGGAGGCCGGTCACTGCACCCTCGGCCAGGTGGGACCAGGTGGGACCAGCCCTGAGCTGTGCGCCCTGAGGGGCTGCACCGCCTCTGTGTCCCGCCCCGGCCGGGCAGGGCGGGGTCCATGAAGCAGGTGTGTGACTTGGGGGGGGGGGCATACGCACATACTGCGCCTCCTTCTTTAGCTGCATTGGCTGGGGCCCTTGGCCAGGCAGGGTCTACACATTCCTCCCAGTAACGCCTCCCCTCACACCGCACCCACTGCTGGGGCAGGTGTATTTCTACTTCACAGGTGAGCAGAGCCCACGACCACCCTCAACCCCACGCACGGCCTCTCAGCGACCCTCTTAACCTGGTGGCAAAAACTAATGACCGGAGCCCTTCAGAACATGCGCTTTCTGGGGAACCTGAGCTATAATGTTACCCTTCACCGTGTATCACCAAACAGCCATATTTCATTGAAACTCTCACTAACAAGCTAAACCCAGCTCCTCCAACGCCTCCTGCACAGGACGCCACCCTCGATTAGTGCGATCGTCACCCAGATAAAATAAAGGAAAAGTTCAAGTCTGGCGCCGGCTGCTGGTCTCCTGTGCAGTCAAGCGAGGGTCCCCTAGGACGCCGCCCGGTGCCCACCCGACTCTCCGCCGGGACAGAGCCT